AAAGATCCCTCTATTGCAGGTGGTGGAGCCTCAGAAAAATATTCTGGGGGTAATAGGATGGGAGATACTTCCTCTGCGTCGCTTTCTTCATCTTTTCCCACTTGGTGATATTATCACTGTCTTCTCTTTTCCTCAGCCTCTGCAAATTGTCACACCACAAGGAGGCGCTCTTTCTCAATTTGATAGATGCAAGCTTTACCCTTCAATCTTCTGGAACCTCTTTGTATTCAAAGATCCTCTCAACTGGTTGTAGTGATTCAATAGAATCATCGGGATCCATACCTCCGTCGAACTCTGGTAAGTTCACATTTATTTTGAAGTCTTTGTGTCCTCCAAATTATATTTCCTCTCTCGGCCTCCTCTGACACTGGATTGTGAAACATCGTGGTCTTTCATCTTCATCACTGACATCTTCTCAATGGAAAGGGTTGAAATTTTCGTCTCTTTCACCAACTTTTTCAATCCAGGTCGAAGATAATCTCCCCATGGATTTCATCCTTAATGTCTGCAAGCCTCCGATGAAGTCGACGGATCTATGTTTGCATCTCTTCCCGGGTAGGCTCGAGCATGTATCTACTTGGTGGCATAGCTAGGATTTAGAGTTGGGAGATGAAAGAGGATGAAGGAGACTAATCCACAAGCCTCCGATGAAGTCGACAGATCTCTGACTGTATCTCTTCCCGGGTAGGCTCGAGCATGTATCTACTTGGTGGCATGGCTAGGATTTAGAGCTAGGAGATGAAAGTGGATGTAAGAGACTAATCGTCATCGCTAACTTCCTCTACTACACCTTGCTCGATAAAGTTAGGAGATGTCAAAAATTAATTTGGGGTTGCTAATTCTGAAAATCAGCAAAAAAAAATTAGGGTTAGGTCGAAGTTTATCTATAGGATTTGGGAATAGAAAAGAAAATTTTTGTGGAGATTTAACGTGAATGCTAAGAAGCCTTAGGATATGACTAAGGTTGGGCTAGCTCTGAGACTAAATGATACTGAAGTTAGCCCAAACCAAAATAATAATAGAAATAATATCGTTGAATTGAAATTGGTTATAAAGATGACTCTTCAAAATAGGGAATAAACGATGGCAAACATAAAAGAGACATTGGAGCTACGGCAAAGGGGTTGAGCGAGGACTGGATAGCAAATGGGAGGGTTGGTCGGAGCTGACGGCAGTAACTAGCTATGCTAGAGGGTCTGACAGCAGTGAAATTGTTGGTAGGAGCAAGTAGGGGTCGAATGTGGTGTCATCGGGAGCAGGTTTTATGGGGGAATGGGCTATGGCAGCATGTGTGGGCAGGATGTAGTGTTACAGGGAGCAAGTTTTATGGGGGAGTAAGCTACAACAAAAAGAGGGGCAGAATGTGGTGTCACGGCAGCAAGTTTTTTGGGGGAAATTGGGTCACGGCAACAGGGGGGGAGTGGGTCACGGTAGCAATGGAAGGCGAGAAAGAAAGAGGGTTATGGCACAGTAGAACACGAGAAAGCAAAGGGTTGTAATCATAGGGGATGTTGGCTGAGATGGCGAGGCAACAGGTGGAGTTACGACAGTGTAGGAATAAGGGTTGGCGGCGAGAATAAGGGACAGATAATTTGCTAGAAAAAGGATAGGGGGAAGATAGTATCTCTGCGGGATCGAGTTACAGCCGGAGCACCCCTTGAACCGTTCGGAAATATACACATCTCGAACGAGTTAAAGCCGGAGCACTCACAGCTTCTGATACAACCGTAGAAGGGAAAATAGTTGTCGACGGCGAGCTGGGCAGAAATCTGAACTCAAAAAAACAAAACTAAAACCTTAGGACAACAAGCACACATAAATAGAAGATGGATAGGTGGGAAATGAAAACAGGAAGGGGGATTAATCCCTGCCCAATGAAAAGATGGGGACCGTCCAACCTCCTACTAGACCGAGCATTCTCCTGTTGAATCAGTTGGACTTGGTTCAGCCCCAAGCACCACATCATAAACACCAATAACCACTTAGGTGAAGTTTGAAGGTGGTGGGTTGTTATTCGAGGTGGTGGAAATTGAGAGTTGTTGGCGGTAGGGTCGTCTAGGGGCAATTAAGGAAGGCTGGCCTGTGGCCGGATAACTGCAGGGAAGCTGAAAGGGCGATGGAAAGGTGGTGGCAGCAAGGGGAGTAAGGGTGTAGGGTTGTCAGAAGGCTAGAAGCAAGCAGGAGGGTAGAAAGAAGTAGTAGCAAGCAAGGGGTTGAAAAAGGTGGCAACAAGCAACAAGCGGATTGAAAGAGTGGCAGCGGGTAATGGAGGGGTTGGAAGGGGCAGCATCGAGCATAAAAATGAAGGATACACACCACCTCGGGATGAGACAACCAAAACATCTTCTCATTGTTGGATACAGCCCTAAAAGATGAAAACAGGACGTCAGAGATTGTAAATAAATCTAAAACCAAAACAGCAAACTTAAAAACAGGAATCACATATATAAACCATAAATAACTAGGATTTGATCCCCTATGGAACGGAGACACCAATCCCTCGTGAAAAATCCAATCGGCCCTCTTGAATCTGGACAGGTTTGGTCTAGATGAAGGACATTACAGGAGAAGCCCACGACTCCGCGACGTTTCTCACGTGTCTGAGTCAGTCTCCAGGGTTTGGGAGAGCTTCGACCTTATTCGTAAAAGATTCTCTTTGCATGTTGAAAGTAGCGGAGCTGTTGTAATCTTTCGGGGTTGAGGGGTCTTCAATTGCGGTCCGAGAAGCACATAGATCCCACTGGCAACTGCATTGTTCCCCAAAGCACCTGAAGAGTTTTCCCCACTTGCGAGTAAAAATCCATATCGGTCCAATCATCTAGGAGTGCATTGCTTAGCTGAATAGGAATCTGTGCCAAGTGTTTATATTGAATTCTCCAAAAACAGCCTAAGATTGGTTTTGAATCTCTCTGAACGGTGGCGACCAAGGTGGTAAGCTAGCGAACGGGATGTCCTGAAACTCTCTCAATACTGGTTGCCATGTGTCTGTTACTGGCACTTCTCTCCCATGGTTCTTTGTCATCACCAAAACTGTTCCTCCCGATATTTCTCTACCAGCAAAGGCACCTGTAATATAATCTCGAACTCAGCATAAGATAGAAGGTTTATGTGCTTGCCATCTTTGATGAATGAGTAGGTGTTCCATTACTTATCATGTTGAGTCTTGTGATCATACTTCCACGGTCTCTCCAACAAAAGATGATAGGCATCCATGAGCACCACATCGTACCAAACCTGATCCTAAGCAGACATCTCCTGTCAACACTAATCTTATTTTCCTTTTATAATCATGCTAAGTATGGTTGGTGGCATCTATCAGTCGTGATACTCAATTTATCCACCATCAGTGTTGACGCCGCAACCTTGCCACTACCTCCATCAATGATGATGTTAGATATTTTTTCATTCACGATACATCGAGTATAAAATATATTGTGGTGAAACCACCATTGGTCCTTCAACGCCTCAGTCTGAAGAACTCGTTGGACCACATATATCTCACCCTCATCTGGTCTCACCCTTTTCTTCGGTTGTCTCGTCATTGCTAACTTCCTCCCCTGCACGTTGCTCGATAAAGAACACAACTGAGCTAATCGGGCAATCGGAAGCGACGTGCTCAAATTCATGGCATCTGAAGCATTTCTTGTTGGGATTGTAGTTGGCATGCAACTCTTCTCAGGCTTCTTCTCACTCCGTGTAACTTTATCCTTATCCTGACCAGTCTTCTCGACTCCCTGAGACATGCTCCTGCTGATGTTTCTCACTACAGGTGGTCGGCTTAGTAGTTGTGATTGTCTGCTCTGTTTTTGTTGACTTTCCACCTTCAATGTTAAGGTTTGAATATCTCTCAGTGACCAATAGAGTTGTTGAATAACATTACAGATAGTTGGCTTCAAACCTCCCAAGTATCTAGCTGCAATATGTTCCTCTGGCATGACCAACTCGCATTGCTCACCATCAATCAAACCTCCCAAGCATCTAGGTCCCGCCATCAATCACCGTAAGCCTCTGTTGACGACGATGTATTTCTCACGCTATCTTCTTGGTGGCATGGTTAGGGTTCGGATTGGAGGAAGTGAAAGAGGGTGCCGGAATGGGGAACATAAAGATTTTTTTATTATTATTTTGTGGTTGGGGGTGGGCGCAAGTTGGTGGTGGGGGTAGGGAATGGCGGTTGATATTTGGGAAATGGTGTGATTGCTAAAAACCAAAGACAAAAGCAATTTGTTCCCTCTATTGGCACCCTTCCTTTCTCCTGAGCGTTCCATGCCTGCTGTTTCAACACAACCATAATTAATTTGGAGTAAGGTAAGAAGTGGCCCAAGAAAATAATATATAGGGGGATTTTCACACTCATATGTAAGCCCCGGAATGTGATTTGCTCCCCTTACCTGTTGCACCCAATATAAAGAGTAAGACTGTCAAATTCATAGGTACCGCTAACTCCAAATGATGTTTGTCAGCACCCATCCTGCTGGTTGCAGGATAGGAAGAGGATTGTTTTTTAGAGCCAAGACGACAAGCTATTGACATAGCATAAAATCATAGATATTTTTATAAAACGTCAAAACATAATGTAAAATACCAGATAGTATCCACACATGCATGCAACTATTTGAAATTTTCACCCAAATTTGTTTTGGGGCATCATTAATCTTGAAGGTGAAAAGTGTTCTATGAATTGATATCTTTAAGTTTTTAAAATCCATCTTTTGATATTGGTTTCATGTAAAGCTGATAAACAGTAATGTTCGGAAGCTTCACGATTATTGGACTTTTTTAAGTATGAAATCATCAGTTTAACTTTAGCATGACAGTAGCTTTTAACCTGATGAAAATAAAATATGGAGATCTTGTAAATTATTTCAACAATGCTGAATTGAAATAAAAAAGCAACAAAAATAAAAATAAACAAATTATCATAGCTAAAGATGGGATAAGACAATTATCAGAGTGATTAACACAAAATTAAGTCAGAGAATATCGGTTAGATTTTTTACTCAAGTATATCTAAAGCAAATATCCGTTGAAGTGAATGCACCCGTAACCACATTGCCTGGTAAGAAAAAGCCAGCACGCCCATCAAGCTTAATATGTTGAACCATAATATGCTAATGTCAATAAAAAAATAATATTATCTTTCATTCGGCACATACAGATCCACCTGCAGCAAGAGCTGTCAAATCCTCAAGCAGAAAAAGCCCAAGTTTCCCAGTTTTGCTCAGAAAATCTCTCTTATTTGGTTGAACAGCAATATTTCTTGTCTCTAACCACCTGACAAAACTTAAGTGAGCAATATCACCGATTAGCCAGATAGCATAACTTGCTATCACTACATAAATACCTATAGTTCCATATGCATGGAAGTTGAAATTCATATGCAAAGAACAGTTTATATAGGGACCGATTGGGATCGTTTTTTATTTTTTGTTTTTCATATTTTAATTTTCTTTGTTTTATTTATATTTTGATTTGAATTAAAATATGTTTGATTGAGGAATTTATTTTTAAAAACACTCAAAATAATTTTTGGGTGTTTGGAGTGCTTTCAAAAATAATTTGATTTATTTAAAATAAGCATATAAAACATATAAAAATTATCTCAATCAAATATATTTTTAAAAATAAAAATTAAAAAAATTAAAAAAAAAAGAAAACAAAAGTGATGCCAAACGGACCCTTAATTTAAGTATAGTAAGAGAAAGATGTACACAAAGAATTATACTCTGATTCGCTGATGCTATGTGTAACACTGTTCGTGACAGAATTAGCTCGAGAAAGCTGACTACCATATTTTCCAGCAGGAAGCCATTCAGCATGATTGACATTATCAAATATCAAAGCAACCGCCTGTCGGAAGGTAGCTGCAGCGGTACTAGAACAAAAGCATGTACACACAAACATGTACAATACAAGTTAATGAAGAAAAAAAAAATCTCTCTCTATAATTTACGTGAAAATTTAATTACTATGGAACTTACTTGCGGACACTGTCAGAAGAACGACTATTTTCCAGGAGGCGAAGACAAATACCAAGAGCTTGAGCCATATTGTCCTGAACAAAGAGAATAAGAACATTTAAAATTGTTGTTTACATGTACAGCAGCATAGCAGAAGGAGCTGTTGTTGTTGACTCAACTTAAACTTAACCTGTGATGTAGAAAATTGGAAGTCACAATTAGCAGCCGCATGTCACTAGGCTCAAAATCAAACAAAAACAAAAATGCTTGCCTCTAAGTTCTTCAACTTACTTAAGTAAGCTCATAAGCCAATTCTTTGACTCTTGACAATTCACTTAGCAGCTATCTGGGATTTCTTTTATTTTATATTTTTATTTTTTATTTTTATTTTGATTTAAATTAAAACAAGTTTGATTGAGCTAATTGTTTTTAAAAATACTTGGCACAACTTTTAAGTGTTCTGAATATTTTTTAAAAACAATTTCATTTATTTTCTAAAGCAAAAAATAAATATGTAAAAATTATAGCAATCAAATATACTTTCAAAAACAAAAGAGAAAATAAACATAAAAAACAGAAATGATGTCAAACAGGCACTTAAAAATACTTAGCACAACTTTTAAGTGTTCTGAATATTTTTTAAAAACAATTTCATTTATTTTCTAAAGCAAAAAATAAATATATAAAAATTATACCAATCAAATATACTTTCAAAAATAAAAGAGAAAATAAAAATAGAAAACAGAAATGATGTCAAACAGGCACTTACGTGCAACATAGAGTGCCCAAATTGAAAGCAAACATTATGAATTAAGTCTAGGTCTATCTGCCAATGAAAGGAGAAATAATACTTGTATGACTTCGACAGCATCCAACATTCATTTAGTAGGGCTAATATTGATGGCTGCCGATCAGGAGTAATTCTCGTAGAAAAGTGATGTCTTTTCAAGGCTCAAGCATTCACTGTAATGATAATACTGATAATTCCACCAGCATGGATATATTTCTTGATTCTCCCAAGTTTATTTATGACAATGAATAAAGCTTTCATATTGACACAGAAGTACTGCTTGCATTGGTCAATCATAGAGTTGTTTAAGTCCTCCATTGGCACCATGATAAGATTTCATCTATTTTTAATATGCTGTGTGATTTGCAGTGTCAAAATAGCTTTTAAACACAAATTCATCTAACTCTGGTCACCAGCTTAACCCTGCAATAGCTTTTCGTTGGAGCATAAAATTGTCATAATGCATGTTAATTGTCATAAATCATGGGAAAATCCATGGTTGACTTATGTTTATTTTATGGTCCGATCAATCATTTATTATAGTCCTCTATTTTTTACTTATTTTTTTATTTTTTAATCCTCCTTTTACTCTCTACTATTTTTCTCCCTAAAGAAATATGTAAACTAAAAATTATACCCTCTTCGAATTTTCTAGAATTTGTTACTACATCATAGATCTAATTATTGAAATTTTGACTACAATCGCCAGTAATATGAATCAAGCAAATAAAATTTTAGAAGGAATGGCTTCATAAATCTAGTCCTTACATATTTAGAGGTTGTTATTGAATGATGGATCTAATTATTAAAAGTCTAACCATGGTCACTAGAATGTTGAAGTAGTGTGATAGGAATCAAGAATATTCTCCACACAAATTAGGACACAATATTTAATTGCAAGAGAATCAAACAGATCAAAACAAATACATAAGATAAAAATCTACAATTCGAGAGGTTGGTGATCTCTCCCAAATCCTGTAACTTGAGAGGTAGGAAATCTCTCCTAAAACCCGACTCTAAAACTCAAAAGAACAATCTTATGCATAACCCTAACACCAAACCATATTAGCCTTTATACTAAACAATAATAAATGACAAATGACTAAATTGCCCTTAGACGTCAACATAACATTACTCGCCTCCAAAAAAGATATCTTGTCCTCAAGGAGGAAAAAAATTGTTGTTGGATCAAGGCGTGTGGCTCTCACGTGGCATTAATATCTAGCAATGCTTTTCCTTTAATCAAAAACTCATGATGACCCTCAACACCTTGAAATGTCGTCTTGTACATATCCTTTGATTGCATTTGAATCTAATGGTACCAAGATTTCAAGTCAATCCTAGAGAATAATAATGTCTCACCAAACAACTCATCAAGTAGCATATCGATCACGAGAATCTTTATCAACTTTGTATCATGTGTCTCTTTTATGAGATGTCACTCAATGAAGAATCTCAGCCATGTGTCGTGAATCACCCCATCATAGTCTTCAGCATTGTCAAAATGTTGCAATGTTGCAATGTCAAAATCAGTCCCCTTGAAAATGTTGCAATGTCAAAATCAATCCCTTACAAACCCCTCTGCTCTTCTCTGTCAGTCTCGTTCCCATCATTACTCATGAATCTCATTTCTCCTGGAAGGCTACCGTCGCAAGGGCACCTTAGATGCAACCCACCGTCAAGGTCTCACCCACCACGACTCCCTGTTCCATGCCAAAATTCTTTGAAGTGATCTCTACAGCCCTGAATTGCACTCCATCTCGATCAACCTGTTGTCGCTCATTTCAAACCTCTATATGTCGTGCAACTCTCTCCAAATGTTGTTGTTGGAACATGCTTCTGATTCCTTCATCCAATCTCGTCTACTTCAGTTCATTCAAGCAATTCGGAGGTCGCACTATTCCTTCCAAGTGTAGTTGATCGATCTTGCTCTCGATTACTTTTTTAAGTGTTGTTATTTTAGTCCGAAACTTTTTCAGCATTCACTCAAGTCCCTCGAATTACCAAACATGAACAAATTTTGTCTTATTGTCAACGGTCATTTATTTGAGGGAGAGAAGTTTTCCATAAAAGCATTTTGGATTTTTCACAGTGAATCTTATTAGTTTGACTATATATAAATTACGACGTGAGATTAAGGGCCGATTTGTTTCAGCTTTCAAAACCATGGCCAGCTCCAAAATGCGGTTGATGCCCTTTTGTTTCGCCGGTTCGACGCCTCCGGTTCGGGAACGCCATTCCAACAGATAATAACAACACGAACATGCATAAGGGAGTGCAGTTCGAGCGTTCCACTAATATTATTCCTCCCGTGCCCTCGTGGTCTCTCCAGCCCTAGCGCCCCCCCTCAAGATCTTGAGACGAGCCAATCCCTTCAATTCCTTCCACAAGATACATCTGCGTAGCAGCAAACCAGCAGGTGAGGATTTCCATCTTCTGTTTCTCTTCCTTCCCACACTCAAATCACTTCTCAAAGGCTATTGCATCATGGTGGACATGTACACTTTGATCCATGCTTGTCTGTATTTGTGCTTCATCCTTCCCGTAAGTTCTGAGAAGCATTCCCCACTTTCCAGCTATTCTTCTCTTCTTCTTCTTCTGTTGTTAAAGATGATTGCCTTGAGCTCCGACAAGGTAATGTTTTAATATGAACTGAAAATATTGATTTATGCTGAAGGTGAATTCGGTGGTATGTATGTAAATTGTCTTTTATATTCCAGTGTTTTAATATGAACCGAAAATTGGCTTTGCATATAATATTTCTATAAGCAGGCAAAGATGATAAGGAAGCAAGATATCCTGCAGGAAATTAGATCAAATTCCATTATAATTTTGAAAACCTACATTTACAATGATCTGGGAAATTTATCACAGCCTTACCCACTATACACAGGAACTGTGAACTTGGATTCACACAAGCATGAATGTGTGATGCTGGCATGCTAGGAAAGGGAAATGTTTGCTTTGTTTTGGTATTTCTTACCCCTGTTCCTTACATAAAAGGTTTCGCTTACTATTTCTGATATAGCAGAGACCTTAACTACACTGAAAATATATTTTTGCTTCAGTTTTTTCTTTTTTTTTTTTTTTTTTTTTTGACCCGACAGTTATAAGAAGAGTAATGGAACGCTGAAATTTGAAAAGCTTTGTATATTAGAATTGAGGAGCGAGGAGTCATCATTTATTGACTTAAAGTGGAATTGGCCTGCTTTTAATTTTATTTCGTGGGCTATCTGAATTGGGAAGCTGGAGTCATCAATTGTTTTTGTGTCCTCTGGCCACATTTATTATTACGCAACCTCTGTTCTTTCAGCTTCCGTTTATGCAAGGGAGTTCGGTGGTACGTATCTAAATACATGGATACTGTGTGTTATTCTTAGGATTTTGCTTGGATGAACTCGTTCCTTTCAATATTGCTTGATTGTATAATTTGACAGTGGCAATACACCCTTGCTTTTATTTATCGGAAATGCCTGTTTTGGCTGAATTTTTTTTAAAATAACAACAAGCAAGCATCTGTTGTAAGAATTGATTAGTTGAAGCATTTGTTGGCTGACTTTATTGATATACCAACAAGGAAGCATATGTTATAAAAAAGGGATTAAGGCCTATTATAAAAATGAGGTTAATGCCTACTAAAAAAATTAGCTTAATGCCAATTATAGTGTTGCCGTTGTGTGCTCCTGAGTATTAAGGATGTTATTATGTTTCCTGCAGTGATGATGCGGCATCTTAGGATGACCAAAAGATTTTTAGGTAATCAGTGCTGCCATTACCATGGAAATTTATAACTATTTGGAAGACTTATGAACATTTGCTTACTAGCTCCTCTTGTTTGTAGTGAACGGATGAAGAAAGTGTAGCTCTCAGAATCTACTTTAACAGCTCCATGCTATCAGAATCTGCTTATAAAATTCTTTGGCTGATGTTTCTTAAGAATTGATTTTATGAGGATAGTTCTTTGACTTCTTTAATCTTTGGCTGATATAAAAAAATATGAATTGTGTGGTATGTCTGTAATTTTATACATGTGAAAGTATAAATTTCAATGCTTGGGTGTTAGATATGTGAAAACACAAGAATTGTCTACTTTTTGAAGAATTGTTTGATTTTTATAAGCATTTTGTGATGATGCCATGCAGCTATTATATATTCGATCTTGTATGATATCAATGTTGTCCTATGATCTATTTCGGCTCTCTAGATGATTATTGGTCTCAAAATTTTGTCGGCATTATTACCTCGAATCAGATGCTTAAAAAGAAAGATTTTCCATGATAAGCAATGAATTGGGGCTTTAGTTTTGGCTGAATATAGTTATTGATGTGTATGTCATTATAATGATGCACATTGTTAAAAGCTGGATGAAAATATTATCACAGCCTTACCCACTATGCACAGGAACTGTGAAGTTATCATTTTTTGCCTCAAGTTTCCATGCAGCCTTCTCTTCTGATAATTTCTTATGATTCGGTTAATGGTCACCTTAATTTGTCTTATGATATTATGAGTGAAAATAACATGATAAATTGTCATAGGATTTATCCTATAGGCAGCACTTTCAGAACTGTGTTTTTCAAAATGTTCAAACTGAACTGTGTTTATATTACAGACATTATGTCAACAGGAAACACTTTCAAAACTGTATTTTTCAAACAGACCAACTGCTTCTGAAACACCAGCTTCAGAACAACAGATTTTCAACAGCAGCATCTGAAACCAACTTTTCTAATGCCACGGGCAAAACAAATGCACCCTAACTCTAAAAAAAAAATATCCTCATTGAAAATTTTCCTTGGCTAATTTCCATGCAAATGTCAAAATTGATGACAAGACCAAATTGTTTTAAACTTAATGAGTTAGATTAAATTGACAACTTGATAGGTCTGAAACTAAAATGGACTTAGCTAAAAAATCAAAGACCATTTTGATCATTTGCTTGATCTAATTATTCCAGATTTGCACATTAGGCAGGTAAAAATCTAATATTTGAGCGTACCTTTCTGCACCCTTAAGAGTAATGCAGCATTTTGAAGAAATATATTATGGTCATTTAAGACAAACTTTCAGATGAAGCGGATTAGGCTTGTTTTGTCGTTGATGAAGTGAAGAATAAAAGGTGAAGAACAAGAATATAGCAATCAATAAACGGAGTTTGCAAGAAGCTCTGTGGCATTGCTGAACTAGCGAAACTAGCTTGAGCAAGTTCAGAAACCTCTAATTATCTACCTGATATGACACAAAGAAATCCATTAGATCAATTATGAATATGAATGCATTTAAGATGAAATAACTTCCCAATTCAAGTTCATGATCATCCGAATTCCAATTTTAGTAAATTTACAGTCAAACTAAATGCATAAACGAGACAAACCTAACGACACTTGAGTCCAAAATGAGCTTAAATCAAATACTTGAAGTATAATTAAGAGCTTTAAAGCATTAATTTAAGGGTCACGTGATCTCAAAGTACACATGCATATAGTTGATTTGAGCATCTCGACAACAGAAATCCAGCAAGTATAGATAATTCAATTATGAGGTCACAAGACATTTAAATGTTGAAAGAATGGTTAGGACCAGAAGAATCAAGATAGGCTATCGATGGAGTATTTTGAAATTTTGGCAAAATTTATCAAAATGTCCCTCTTAAAACTCTATAAATAGAGCAACATGCTCCATAAAGAGAGAAGTTGAGTGAGAACTTAGATATTTAAAGAATTCTAGAGCTCTGGTGATGTTCAATGACAGCAACCACTACCAACCATCACTAGCTAGTTACCATTATCTAATTGGCATCGCCTGACCATTGACACCTAATCGCCTGCATCCAATCATTATTTTCGTCTTTTATCACATCTAACTCTAATACAAGCATAAAAGATCAAATTTGGGCATATCACTTTATAATCATGTCTTCTCCAATAAAAAGGAAATTCAAACCTTGCAATTGTGGTTATATAGTAGATCAATGGGCTAAGCCCAGGATTTTTCCCTTCTTAATTTTTCCACACAAAAAATGTGTTTCTCCCATACTCTATTATTTTAAATGTTATATGTGGAATTATTGTGTGAAGCTAGGACGTAAAACTCCCACTCTTCCTCCACGAATTTTTAAGCATGTAACACTACTTATCATATAAGGGCAATTGAAGTATATGAAACAAAAATAAGAAAGTTTACTTGGGATAAACTATCTTGGTATTATTAAAATTAGTATCATAAGATATTTCACCAGAGCACACATAATCTTATATGAATCGGAGCCGCTTCACCCTATGAGTAAAAGCACTCTTTAAGATGCAAACGACTGCAAACAGCACTTCCATAAGAAAATTAATCTTAAAACTAAAGCAATCCCAGAGAAACACTTTAAGTAATCACTAAAATGATTAAAAATCAAAAGTAGAATTTCATAAATATAGATACATATGATGCCAAAACCAAATCATACACGGTTGCACCGAATAAAGATACGTAGCTGCATGTAGTCTAGAATAATCATCACTATATTTTCAAGCATTTTATTCTCCGATTGCAATGCAAAAAAACTTTACAAATTAATCCTTATTTGTATACTTCTAAGATGATTTAACAGCAAGCACAGAACAGTCGCCAAATATTCTTGGACACAAGCAAGTTTGCAGGTAGAAAAATCTCGATCAAATCAGACCACTACCTCATAAATACTAAGATGAACATTGAAAAATGTGAAAAAGAGCTTTGCACACCTCATTATCAGGATGTAGACGTGATTGAAATATTAATAATATAGTCTGAAGAGTTTTAAGCTGAACACTATCATCTGCCATCTCTGAATGCTGCATTAAAAGGAAGAAGAATGGTAAGTCGAAAAAAATAGGTAGATTAGAATCTTGATAAAATCATTTCAAAAAAATAAATCGAACAAGCATCCTGAACATGTATACAGATGCTATTATGTAAGTTATGATGGACCAGCAACATGAAGTAACAACAAAATACAATTTGCACTCTACAAAGGCTCCGTTAGGTAATATTCTAAGCTGCGCTACATATGTTGTGGGAAATAAAATCCCCTTTACTCTAGAAATGAATTAAAAAAACACACAAAAGAATGTATTCCCTATAAACACGATAGATGATGAAAGTGCACGCACAATGCATAGCTTTCTATCACAAGTTCTCAGTGATAATAAAACTTGTGATATGATGGTAATCTGAAAAGCAAAACAGTAAAACATTAGTTGAATAAGCACTGGGAATACATTGCCATGTTCAGCTACAACGGAAATAATACTTCGAGAAAATTTTTTAACAAATCTACAGGAGTGCAAATATTTTTAATTTAATCGGCTACATTTGCTATCCTTCTACATAATTGGCTTACATTTGAAAATTTATTGCACAAAAAGATCCTAAATTATCATAATATTCGTGAAGAAAAACACTGGCAACAAAAGTATTGACAACATAAAGCAAATTGAATACATATTGCCGGGTTTTGGAATGTATGGTCCTATTGGGTTGTTGAAGCAACTAAGGGCCCGTTTGGGGCAGCTTATAAGTGCGGGGGCGTTTTTGAAAACGCCGCAGTACCGTTTGGTTGGCGCGTTTTGCCAGCTTATCCGAAAACGCGGTTCTATTTTTACACAAAACGCAGACCGCGGGTCGAACCCTGCGGTCGACTCACAGGCCGCGTTTCAGGATAAGCTGTTTATCCTGAAATGCACAAGCTACCCCAAACGCACCCTAAGACTGTAAAGACGAGAATGCATCAAAGAATAAACAATCAGTTGGTTTTATATACCAGTCATGTTACCCCAAGTATTAGCTTTTAAGCTTAGGGATTGAAGGTATGCTTTGAAAAAATAGTGTGATCCAAGGCCCAACATAGATTTCCCAGCTAGTGATCTCTTTGACAAGTAGCATAAGGTCTAATTAATGGTTTTACCCACGTCAGAAGATATAAACACTAATTTAAAAAGATGAATAGTTAAGATTAAACATCAAAGAGGTCGCCAGGATATGCCAACAGATAATCAAGTTCATTGTATCACAGGGACATAATCACAGCTTAAATAATATTTTGACCAGAAGTCGTGAGAATTTGTGTGTGATGTGGAAGTGGCTCGAATAACTTTGAAGCATGCACAGCTGGAAGACCGCCACATAGCTGAACAAAACAGTTGGGCATCAAATTACTTGTTCTTTGGCACCACACATCTGCTTAAGCTTTGGGAATCATTGTACGGCTCGTAGAATATGTGATAAAAGGCAAGGTGTTAGAGAAAATTTACATGTGATTATGTGAGTGAGGAGGATAAATGGCAGCTAAAAAGCGGTGCGATTGACGAAGGGACAGCGAACCTGAAGCGAAAAACAGCAATTTTCTGCTGTAAATATCAGGTAGCGGAGGCGCTAGCAGTTGCCCGGCTAAAAACAGCAGGCAAACAGTGAATCGGCTAGGTGCAGACGGCGAGAGGAGTTCACCGCCTATTCCTAGGCAAGCTGCGGATGCACCACTTGTAAAAGGAAGAGGCTAAAGTGCTCTAGAGGGGAGATATTAGAGAATGTTCTCTCAAAATTCATAAACTCAAGCTGGAAATCCCAAAACCAAAAATACAACCTACATAGAGGTTCCCTACAACAACAAAGCCTTAATCTCACTATGTGGGGTCGGCTACATGAACCCTTTTTCTCCATTGCGTCCTATTTAGTGTCATATTTTCATTTAATTCTAATAAATTAAGATCATTTTTTATACAATAAGCCCAAGTCTTCCTAGATCTACCTCTGTCTTTCTTAACATAACTCGAATCTAAAACATCTACTCACCTAATCGGATCATCAGATGGTTGACGTTTAATGTGACCAAACCATCTAAGACGACTCTCTCTAATTTTGTCTGTCACTGGAGCTACACCAACCCTAACCCGGATATATTCATTTTGCATTTTGTCTGAGTGTAAAGCCACTCATCCACCTAATCATTCTCATCTCGGCAACACTTAACTTAGTATTATGCTTCTCTTTTAAAGGCCAAAAAGGCCAACATTCAGCGCCATAGAGCATTGCAGGTCTCACCACCCTCTTATAAAATTTTCCTTTCAGTCTAAGCGGTACTTTTCTATCACAAAAAAGGCCCAAAGCATTCCATCATTCAACCAACCAACTTGAATTCTACTATTAACATCCTCATCTATATCATCATCTCTTTGAACAGCAAACCCAAGATATTTAAATCGTTCACACCTTTTAATAATTTGATCGCCCAACCCAAAGTTACACTTCTGTTTCTGTCACTAGAGCTCCTACTACTAAAATTACATTCCATGTATTCAGTTTTAGTTCTACTCAAATGAAGGTCTTTAGACTCCAATGTAGACCTCCATAAATCAAGTTTTTCCTAGGCTTCTTCTCTCGTCTAATCCACGAGAATGTTATCATCAGCAAAAATCATACACCAAGGTACATCCTCCTGTAAATGTCCAGTAAGACCATCCATAACTAAAGCAAAAAGATATGGGCTTAAAGCCGATCACTGATGTAATCCAACAGAAATAGGAAAATATTTGGTCAATCCTGCTTCAGTTCAAACACAAGTAACAACTCTATTATACATATCTTTACTCGAATATAAGTCATATCAACACCTTTCTTCTCAAGAATGCTCCAAAGGACATCTCTTGGAAACTTATCGTAAGCTTTTTCTAAATCAATAAAAATCATATGTAGACTCTCCTTATTATCTCTGAACTTCTTCAGTAAACCTCTCAATAAATGTATAGCTTCCCTGGTAGACCTGCCCGGCATAAAACCAAATTGATTATGAGAAATCTTTGTAATACGTCTTAACCTATGTTCAATTACCCTTTCATAATTTTAAAGTATGACACATCAACTTAACTCTTCTATAATTTGTACACTCTTGTGCATCCCTTTATTCTTAAAAATGGGGACTAAAATACTCTTTCTCCACTCCTCAGGCATCTTTTTAGTTATTAAAATAATATTAAGGAGTTTAGTAAGCAAGAGACTCTCAAATCTCCTAAATATTTCCACACTTCAATTGGGATATCATCAGGTGACTTTCCACCCTTTGTTTTCATTAAAGCCTCCTCAACTTTTTTTTTACGAATGTGGCGGTAAAAAAGAAACGTTTTATTATTATTAACGATATTAAGATCACTAAGATCGATCGTATTTTCAGAAACTTCATTAAAAAGTTTATCAAAATAACTCACCAATCTATGTTGAATTATTTCTTCTATGAAAAGCACATTCTGATTTTCATCTTTAATACACTTTACTAGTATTAAATCTTTACTTTTATTTTCTCTTTGTTTGGCTAGTTTATACATATATTTTTCACCCTTTTTAGTATCTAATCTATCATAAAAATCACTAAAAGCAGAATTTTTAGCGTCACAAATAGTTCTTTTAGACTCCTTGCGAGTCATTTAGTATTTTTCCCATTTTTTTAAGCTTTTACAATTAAACCAATTTTTATAACATAACTTCTTATATTTTATCTTATCTTGCTCATTATTATTCCACCACAAACTATTTTTATTTATAGAAATTTTTTCTTTTGATTCTTCAAGTACATTTTTTGCTACTTGTTTAATATTGTTTGTTAATTCATCCCAAATAGCATAATAAAAAAATAAAAAAATAAGAAAATAGAAATTTGAAAAATATGTAAGAACCAAACAAAGAAGAAACAAAGGAAAAAAATTTGATGAAGAAATAAAGAAAAAAAAATAACTTCGTCTGACACTGAACTCCCATGATTGCGGGAACTAATACAACGTAATCGCAATATCATTGGAAACCATGCCCACGTCTCTCTCCGGGAAGGAGGGGCTTCGCCCTCGCCTCCAGTGATATTTAGGCTCTGAAAGTACGGTGGCAAGTCAACAAAATTAAAAGTAACAGAAATATTGTAATCCCACAGAATTCAATGTTGTAGGCATTGTCATTAATTTTCATAACAATTATGAATGGACCATCAGCTCTATGTTTGAGCTTTCCAAATGAACCTGCAGGAAATCGCTCCTTCAACCTAATTCATACCATATCGCCTTCCACGAAATTCATGGCCTTCTTGAACTTGTTAGCCTGCCTCTGATGCTTAGAGTTCTGCTTGCCAATTTCCTCATGACATGCTTGTGTTGGATCCGAATATCCGTACTCGAACCTTAGCATCAATGTTAAGCTTAGTGGCTGGCAGAGCAATACTGACAATCTCAAAGAGGTCATGATTTATGGACTAATCATTAGAAAGATTATAGGTAAACTCCACCTGAGGAAGAACTAAGTCTCGTTGCTCAGTGGTCTTTCCTGCAAAGCATCTAAGAAGTTCTCTCAAACTGCGGTTTATAACCCTGTCTGGGGTTGAGCTACTGAAGTGAATTGAAGCTTTGAACCTAACCTATCACATAAAGTCCTCCAAAAGTAGCTGAAATTTTTCACGTCTCTATCTGGCGTAATGCTTTCGGGTATAACATCAAGGAGAAAAATCTCCTTAAAGTATAAGTTAGCAATATGTGACGCATCAATTATCTTACGTCAAAGAAAAAAATGTGTCATCTTGAAAAAACAGCCTACCACAAACATCGTATAAACTTTACCCCACGATGTCTAAAGCAAGGATACCATAAAATCCATTCTCGCGTCCAACCAATGTGGCTCTGAAATGAGAAGGGAGTATACCCCAATATTTTTTCCTCGAGTCTTAGCCAAATGGTGTCCTGCACTGTCTGACGTGTCTATCCACATCTCATACTAATTTGGGCTAGTAAAAATATTCTTTTACTAAAAATAGAATCTTGTCTCTGCCAAAATATCATGCATCCCTCCACTATGTCATTCTTGTAAAATATTCTCTGAGTGAACCCCGATAAATGCATGACCTATTTTGGAAGAATAGATATCCATCAAATTGATGGTACAACTCATATGGTCTATCCTAAAAACAACGCGAAATATAAAAAAAAAATACTCAACAATTGTATATAACTCATTCAGCACTTCAAAACCAACGACCTTATAAAGCATCGTAGTGAATAATAACTTGCAACAACTCAGTGCATCAGCTAGTTTATTATGACTCTTAAAGCGGGGTGATATGAAGAAATTATACCTATGAGGCATTTCTACCGTTTAGCTTATTCTGACTATTCAGGAATCTCAATACCTCGTGATCCGTATAAAGAGTAAATTTATTTGCCAGCAGATAAAGACTTTAATGATTAAAGGCTCGCACAATAGCATAAAAATTATTGTCTTTGGTAGGATACTTTCTCCTAGAATCATTCAAATTTTCATTAAAGAAAGTCAAAGGGTGCCCTCCTTGGCTAAACATAGCTCACATGACATGATGACCGATGAATTTCCATCTTTCAACTGACATCTTTGTTTATATACTAGACGGCTAGACCTTGTATAATAGATCTAAGTTATACTTGATAACATAATATCTAGGTACAAGTTCACGCTCCTATAATCATTTCCAAAGAAGGTGATATTATCACAAAGAGGTAAGTTAAAAAGCGTGGCACATTCATATATAAAAATTAGAATTGTTTTCACGTGCAACAATGTTAAAGTTAGAGCTTGATTTTCTGCATAAATTGGTATAACCTCCTTGTCAACAAAATACCAAGCAAAACACTATTTAATTACAAAAGAGGCATCTCATCCATACAAAGGTGACTATAAATATCTAGTTGTCTAGTAAAAATAAATAAAATAGAAATCATGTTGCTGAGAAAACTATCGTAAAGGCATACTCAATAATCCCAAACTCACATCTTTCAGAGTGGAAAGGATATCCTTTAGTGCAGAAGATGCGACGGCATCATGCGATATGAGCTTTTGCAAACAAGCTAGTCCGAGAACACTCAGTTTGACCGATTTAGCATCACATGCCATCAGAAATATCCTCACTATGTCCTCATTGTCAGCAATCTCACCAGGTCCAGATAAAGAGCGGAGCTGCCAAATAACGGAAAATCATGAGATTTAAAAAGAAGAAAATAGAATCAACTGCAAGCAGTAGTGTTTGAATGTATGATCTCCATGATAGCTGTACATGCGGCAAGATATGAAATATAAATGTGATTCAACAAAGTACACCGCGATATAAAATATAAATTGGATTCAACCCAAGCACAACGAACGCACGCATCAAACCTAAGCCGCCACCAGGATACAGTGAAAGGCACGTCGTCGTCGCCGCCCCCCCCCCCCCACCCCCACCCCCCCCCCCCCCCCCCACAACCCACACACACAGACACGCAGCTTCTACTCTTGCAGAAGAAATTAAAAAAAAAAAACTACATAAATAATTGTAAGCAGCAGAGTTCTTGTAGTTGAGCGAAACGAGGAAGGAAATAGTTGAGCCCCAAGAAGAGATTCATAAACAGACCTTCAAGATGGCGTGCTCGGCGGCATCTTTCACCGCAGGATAGCGTCGACGGGCCTCGGCGGAAAGGGCGCGCAGATCTGACTCGAGCACCGCCATTAAAGCCATCTACTCCGTAGAAAGGATCCCGGACTGGATTCTTACTTCGATCCCAGAATCCTGCAGTTATAGTTTGATGCGAAGGATGCGGGCGAGGAAGAACAAGGCCGCGGGAAATGGGACGGTGGCTGCATGCCAGTTATTTTTCTTCCGGAAAATTGGAAAACGGAGCAGCATTCGAGGATGCGATCCGCCAAAGGATTTTTTAGTAAAAGTTCATCTGCTAATTTTTAGGTTGCTTATATAAATTTTAAATTCAGAAAATTTTGGTTTATATTTCATGAAACCAAAAATGGGAGAAATTGGCCTCATTTTATTTCTTGAAAAAATATGACTTATAATTTATTCACATTGAAATATCCCAACTTTGTTAATAGATGTAGAATTCAAATTGAAGCTTGAGCAAATATATAAGTAAACTTCCAAGCAAATTGCTCAAACTTACTCTTCCATGTGTCTTTCCTAGCATCAAGTATCTTCATTCTAATTTAACTGATCTATGCAGAATTTTTTGCCTCCATGTATGATATATGTTCTATTAGTCAAGTTTGAAAACATCATTTGCACCTTAAATCATAAACCCGAGGGAACATTAGATATCACATATTAAAATTTGCTCTAACCTTGATCAAATTGTGTTCATGATGGTACTTAAAAACTCTTAATTGTATTAGAGTCATGTTCTCTACTTCGTATGTTTATACATAGGGATTCATTTGATATAAACTTCCATACCATTAGAAATCCCTATTCTTGAATCTTCTCTCATTTCTAGACCTTGATGAAGGAGAAACGACAACTTGTTGGCATACAAGAGGGATAAGACCTGTCAAGGATCGCTCAGATGTCCACCATTTTGTAAGAGCTAAGACTAAAAATAGAAAAAAGGAGCAAATTTCAACTGAGGACTCTGATATAAAGGGGAGCAACCGACCTTGTAAGAGCCTAGGAGATGTCACCCCATTTGCCCCTCATGTTACCTCCTCTCATCCTCATCCCATTTGCAAGTAGATTTTTGAAATGCAGGATAGTGTCGTTGCAATCGAGCAAAAAGTGGACTCCATCGGACATCAACTGAGCCATATCAAGCAAAAACAAAGTCTGCAGTTTGATTGGCATGCCCAAGTCATCGAGCGACACTTTAAAATTTCTCTCTTTACAACTTCTTTCATCACATGATTCAATCTCTTTTGAGGATCAGCTCTGGGTTTGTAGTTCTCTTCCATATGAATTCTATGCATAAAAAATTAAGGACTGATTCTTTTAATATCAGTTATTGTCCATTCAAAGGCTTTCTTAAAATTTTTCAGAATTTTCATTAAACTCTCTTCTTCTTCCATCGTTAACTTTTAGAAAATTATAACTAGTAAAGTAGATGAATCTCCTAAAAAAGCATTTTTTAAATGATCATAAAGTATCTTCAACTCAAGTTGAAGAGGTTTTTCAATCGATGGACAAAATGATTTATCTTTGTCTGTCGTGTCCAAAATTTTAAAACTTTCTCAAACATAGTTTGAATCTTCCTTAAAAAGATTCTCATATTGATCTAATTCCTCTTCTTGCTCGTGTTCCAAATCTTTTTCTTCAGATTTTTCTTCATAAGTAGTCTTAAAATGACATTTACTTAGATATTTTATAACATTCATTCTGTAACATTCATCATCTTTACCTTTTGTAAGATATTTCATTGATCTTGAAATGTTAAAAGTAACACTTTGATCATTGACGTGCATTATTAATTCCTTTTTTTACACATCTATCATTGCTCTTCCTGTGGCTAGGAAAGGTCTCCCCAAAATGATAGGTATCTCTTTATCTTCCTCCATATCTAGCACAACGAAATCAACAGGAAAGATAAATTGATCCACTTTCACCAGGACATCTTATATAACTCATTTAGGGTATGTTATTGAACGATCTGCTAATTGCAGAGTTGCAGTAGTAGGGGTTATTTCTTCTAATCCCAATCTTTTAAATATTGATAATAGCATAAGGTTAATGCTTGCACCTAAATCACATAAAACTTTCCCATAAAATCTGTCTCCAATTGCACATGCAATTGTAAAGCTACCAGAATATTTAAGCTTTTCAGGAAGTTTCTTCTAAATTATAGCACTGCACTCCTCACGAAGTGCAACAGTTTCATTATCTTCAAACTTCCTTTTCCTGTTCAGAATATCCTTCATAAACTTTGCATAACTTGACATTTGTTTTAAGGCTTCAGCAAATGAAATATTAATTGTAAGCTTCTTAAAAATTTCAAGAAATTTTGAAAATTGCTTATCCAACTTCTGTTGACGAAGTCTTTGAGGAAATGGAAGTGGTGGTTTTTCCAAATCAACTTTAGGTGGAGAAATAGGTCTTTATGAATCTTTCGGAGCATCCTCTTTTGATTCTTCAATTTCTTCTCTCTCAACTTCAATTTCTTTTTGAACCCTACCTTCCAACTCTCTTCCGCTTCTAAGTTGAACGGCTTTTACTTACTATTTATTTTAGTCTTTCGGATTTATTTCAATATTGCTAGGAAGTGTTCATTGGGATCTATTACTCAATGAATTTGCTATTTGTCCAAGTTAATTCCCAATATTTCTAATTGTAGCTCATTGACTTTGCAATTAATTTCCCATTTGTAACACCACTTCTTTTATAAATAACTTCTTCTCATTAAATTGTGTATTATTGTTGAAACCTGGAGGATAAGTAGATAAGTAGTTATTATTCTCTTGGTTGTTCCAATTTCCCAATGGGCTTACTTGGTTGTTCCCCTAATGCTGATTATTACCACCCGAAGTATTATTTTTGTTAAAGTTGGGATGGTTCTTCCAACCTGGGTTATAATAATTTGAATATGGGTTATTCTGCATATTATTTATGGCATTCAAAGTCTCTAATGATGCTTGAGAATCTACCATTTGACCTAATGAATTTTCTTTAATCATGGAGATTGGTTGAGAAAAATTCATTCCAAATTATTTTAACTTCCTTGAAATTATAGCAACTTGATTTGCTAGCATAGTAAATGCATCAGATTCATGAATATTGGCTACTTTTATTGGATTCACCCTCTCAGAAGGCCATTGAAAATTATTGGTAGTCATTTCTTCAATTAAAGCATAAGCATCAGTATATGGTTTTGACATCAATGAACCACCAGCAGCGACATTGATAATAGATCTAAGAGAACCAACTAGTCCATTATAAAAAATTTGAACTATCAACCAATCAGGTATAGCATGGCGTTGACACTTCCTTAAGAGTTATTTAAATCTTTCCATGTTTCATAAATAGATTCCCCTTCAAACTGATTAAAAGATGTAACATCATTTCTAAGCTTCGCAGTTTTTTATGGTGGAAAATATTTAACAAGGAATTTTAGTGCTAAATCACCCCAAGTTCTGATAGATCCAGGTGATAACAAATTCAACCACAACTTAGCTTTATCCCTCAGTGAGAAAGGAAATAACCTAAGTCTTATGATATCATCTGATACACCATCGTATTTAAATGTAGCGCACAATTCTAGAAAATTGGCAAGATGTAAATCTGAATCTTCAGTTGGTGATCGCCCAAACTGATTATTTGATACCATTTGGATAGTAACAGGTTTAAGCTTAAATGAATTAGCCACTACAACAGGTTTTTGAATACTACAATGAAGTTCATCTACCGTAGGGTTGGCATAATCTCTTAATGGTCTAAACTCTTGATGAATTTCAGTATTTTGATTATTTTGGTTTGTCAATTTTGTAATTTTTTAAAATTTTTCAAGTTTTTAATTTTTTTAATTTTTTTAATTTTTTTTAATAGTTATTTCTAATTCAGAATCGTAGGATACTAGTCTTTCATAACTTGAACTACGCATACACTAACATACAACAAAAATAACATAAAATAAAGCACACATAAAACAAGATACAATAATTTTTAAAGTTTAAATAAAAATTTCTAAAAATAGAAATTTGATTTCAATTCAATTTAATTTCCCGGCAACGGCGCCAAAAATTTGATCCCGATTTTACTGATAATTTACAACAATATAGCAATGTATGCGATATGTTTTCACTTATATTTCTTTACTTCGAAGTGGAACAAAAAACTTGATCCTGAAAAAAATAAGGATTTCACTTTTAATTTATATATATATTGGGATACTAAGCAAGTATAAGTATCATTATCAAGTAATATATGATTTTTTTATTAAGACCTGAATATCGAACCCACAGAGAATTTTTAATGTATCATTATCACTAGGCAGGGAAGATACCAGCTCTTACTCTAGAGTTCTCTCGATTCCCTCCACCTGGGGGCTAACATCTCGTATCAGAACCTAAAACAATAAACTAAATTGGGGGCTTTAACCTGTCACTTTAAAGTCCTCTAACTCTAGACCCTTCAATGATTATTTCCCTATTTATTTGCACTCAATCATATGAACTACATTATCATTTATACACCTCAAGTGATTCTCTCCAATTGTTGACTGAGAAATACCAGCTCGATTCTTACATGTTCTCACAACAAATTTTAACATCTGGATTGGCCAAATCAAGAAATAAATGAAGTACATCAATTCAAATCATCACAACTCCTTCCAACATTTAAAAATCAATATTCTCCATAATTTCCATCCGAAACTTAATTAGTTATCATTTTAAGAAGAAAGATAAAGAAAACTACTTAGAATTTATGGAGAAAACAAAACCATACTTTAGTTTAAAAGTAGAAATCATTGTCAAACTAACAAGAAGTCTCAATCAAAACCAAAAGTAGTCTAAAACAAACGATAAACACTTATCTCAAGTCCTCCACCAAACTCTTGAAGTTCCTTTGAATATCTTCTTTTTTACAACACTCTTAAAATAAAAACTAAAAACAAAAAGGATAAAGTAAATCTTTGGTGTGGTGCTTGAAAAACTCTCTGTCTAACTCCCCAATATGAACTTTCAAAACTTTCCCTTTCCAAGCAAAACCTACACACTTTCAATTTCTTCTGTTTTCTTTTATATTTTTCCAATAGGTGTCTTGGTATCTTTTCAAACTATGTTTTGATTCAATATATTTCTCCAAGAGATGCCTCCTTTCACAAGTATTTTTGTTTATGCAAAAAGGTGCCTAAAAAACCTCTTCAAAATTAGGAAAAACCAAATTTACTTATCTAGCAACTGTCACTGGCGCTTAAGCGCAGGGGCCTCT